ACTTTACATACAGAGGGACCGTAAATCTTCAACTAAGAAGCCACAAACAATAGGTTTGGTTAGATTAAGGCCCTGGGCACCTGGACCCGTAGGGTGGGGATTCCGTTTGTCATACGACATACGAGGTCCTGGTACCTAAACGGTTTAGGGCTTAGGGTTTGGGGTTTATTCAGATCCAAGTTGCTGGGTTCTACCTAAAGGATCATGGGGTTTAGTTTAGTGAATAAAGTCATAAGGGAAGTAGTAACCTTACTTGCTATGTCCCACGATCACTCCAAGTAAATGGCTTCTGGCAGCGCAAACACTACTGGTTGGCTGGTTGCTTGGACCCGTCGTGTACCCGTCGTATACCCCCCAAAAGTCTACGAACCTAAACCATACACCCTACTATCCTAAACCCACATACCCTGCGGAAGATGGTACTCAACCACTATGATTAAAGACCATAAGGACTCGGTACCCTAAACCCTAAACCCCAAACCCCTAAAACCCTAAGCCCGAACAGCCCGACCACTGACCCCCACCACGCCCCAAACCCCTCAAACCCAGAACCCCAAGCCACAAAACACCCAAAACCCCAAAAACCCTAAACCCCAAAACCCGAAAAAACCCTAAACCACGAAACCCCCAAAACCCTAAACCCGACCAGACCCCTAAACCCTACACCCTAAACCCGACCAGACCGCTAGATCCTAAAGTCCAAACACCTGCCTCACCGGGGAAACGCGGAGGCTCAGAATCGCGGGCCCGGCTGCGTAGACCGCTGCAGGTAGGTCCTCCCAAAGGGTACTAGGTACTGCTATGGCCCATGAAACCCTAAACCCTAAATCCCATAACTTATGGAGGATACTTCTGAAACCGGGTTTAGGGTTTAGGGTCTGAAACCGAAACCCTCAGCCCTAAACGGTTAAGGGCCTAGGGCGGAGGGATGCTCTCCTTTGGGGTTTAAGTCAAGATAGGGTTGATGATATACACTAATAAGGAAGACACCCGAATTCCCATAGTTTATAGGGTCCTTAAGGTAATGCAGGATTTATATCATCAGCAGTACGTACTGCTATGAGGGCTACTTCCCCAAATCATCATAGTAATCCTGATATAGAAACCCTACATTCTACCATATAAGGTACTTTGGTCCCCTTGGGCCCTAGCAGGGGCGGTGTACTTCTAGTAATTTTAGTATGGTTTAGGGCTATATTATAGGGTTTATGTCGTGCTGTGGGGTTTGAGGGTTTAAGTTTCGGGCGTGGGTTTGGGGGTTTAGGGTTTGGCGTCGCGTGTTAGGGCTAAGGGCTGCGTGCTTGAGTGTTTGTTTTCCAAGTTGCCATAAGGGCGGCTTTTTTTGTTTAGGGTTTAGGGTTTACGGTTTCCAAGTTGCCATAAGGGTGGGGTTTTTGGTTTAGGGTTTAGGGTTTACGGTTTCCGAGTTGCCATAAGGGTGGGTTTTTTTGGTGTATTAAGGGTGGGGTTTACAGTCTTCGTAAACTTGCTTCTTGAGAACCGCATCGCTTTTGATATCTGGTTCATGCTCTGTCGCTTGTGTCTGGCAGTCAGCTAAACCCTAAACCCTAAACCCTAAACCCTAAACAAACACGTGCTTGTGAGGGTTGGTCGGGCATTTTCACCGGGAGACCGAGACTTCCCTCCACATACCTACACCATGGCCCCTTCACCATAATTACCCTAAACTGGTTTAGGGTTTAGGGTTTTGGGTTTAGGGCTATAGCATTTAGGGTGTAGGGTTCCCTAAACCCTAAACCTAAACCCCAAACCCCCATACAGCGTCACTTTGTTAAAACAAACATTCGTGTTCTCTTTCCATCCGAAACCCCCTGAGAAGTACAACTCCAGTCCTCAGATCGGGAAAGAAAGCCGTCAACATGCGCCCTGTCCATAATATAAAAACCTTAATAATTTCAATAGGGTTTTGGAATCCTTCATATTCATAGTCTAATTATACAATAAGTAGCCCCTAAAATAATATAGGTAACATCTGGAGTTTAACTTTGGGGGGATTGGGGGCTTCCTACGCTAGTAATAAACGGTCCGGGTTTAGGGTTTAGGGGTTTAGGGTTTAGGGTTTAGGGTTTAGGACCCTAAACCCTAAACCCTAAACCGCAGCACAGCTCTTCCTTCTGAGTCTCCCTGGGTCAGGATACCACACTGCTGGGCTATCCCA